GAGAAGGTTTTTAAATCCTTTATATTAAGTTTGCTTGCTTACTTGCGTGCTTGCGTGCTTGCTTGCTTGCTTACGACCGTGCAAATCTTTCGGTCGTTTTTTAACCCACTTCCCGTGATCCAATCGAGCTGACATTTTGCACACAGACTCGTTGTGCGAGACAATTAATGTTCGTGAAAACATTTTTCCAAAATTTTACACTGTTTAGGGAAAACAAATTAAATATTTAATTACCAATTGTTTAATACTGGCAGACAATCATCTGACCCATAGGTGGCAGCCATCTCAAGCCAGAGGACGAGAGGACTCTAGCCGCCACGCATATAAAGGATTTAGAGTGAAAAACTTTGTTTTTACGGGTTATACTTATTTTCTTATTTTATTCACCCACATCTCCATTTTTTTTTACTTTCATGGCCGTGTGAAATTGCATAAATGTGGCCAAATATATACGATGCCTGGTTATGGGAAATTGTCGAAGGGTAGCCAGCAGCCGGAAGTATTCCATGTTTAGCGCGATTACACTGTACATGTATTATTCCCAATCCGTGAAAGGATAAGTCCCAGCAAAATTAATTTTTCACGACTAAAACATACTTTATCACCCAAAATATTCAAAGGCAGTCATTTAGTGTAGAGGGAAAATCCCTGAGTGCCAGCATATATTTTTTTTATACTAATAAAGCGTTTATCCACCAGGCACAGGTGGCAGCTTAAATGTAATTGGAATGAACCAGAGGCAATTGCCACTTCATGCATTTCACGTATGAGCAAAAACACAATTTTCAAAAGTCACAACACAAATTTTAAATCTACGATAACAACACTGTCATGCCTCCGTGCACATTTTGAAACCCCACCATGAAACGTTTGTCCGTCCTGTGGACTTTATGGCTGCATAACACCCAGGCCGCCTCCAGGTTTGGTGAAATTTAACTCACCTCTTCACCCTGAGAACGGAGCATCCTAGATGGTAAATTAAACCCAATGAATGAATACACGGTCTTTTTTATTCTGCTAAATCATACATGAACATCACAGACGAACTCCACAAATATTCAGCATCAACCTTAGTCTTGGTGGTTTACACACACGTGCTTGTACTGCTCAGAGGTGAAAAACGTTCCTGCTCTAATGAGCATGGGTGGTGCTAATATCCTCTCCACAGCTCTAAACATGAACCAAACTATTTAAACTATTAAACTATTTTTTTATTTTGTCAGATAAGGTCCACCGAGCTATATAGATTTTTTTTCAGGAACGACCTGGCCACAAATGATAGCTCAACAAAGTAGCTTATCATTGGAGATTTATATCAGCCAAACACTCTAAACGCGTTTCGCAAAACAACAATGGAGTTTGCTGCACTTTCCTATACTACCTACAACATGTACTGCACCCGTCTGTTGTGCATGATGGTCATCTATCCAAGCACTTTTCAGGCTCAATTCTTCTTAGATTTCGACACATGCCGGGCAGTGGTGGCGCACATCTATGATCCAGCACTGTGGAGGCAAGGGTTGGTGGATCAAACAAGAGTTCTGAAACTCCCTTCCCGTGGGCATCGAGGTGTCAATACCCCAGCTTTCCAGAAGGCAGTACAGCAACTGGACTAAACTCCACGAGTTTCGATCTGTATGGGGATAGGGTGTTGCCCCCCCTCGTCTGCGTGGATTTTCTCTGGGTGTTCCAGTTTCTTCCCACTTGAATAAACACTCATACATCTTCTGAAAAATACCTTTAAATAAAAATCCAATGCATGACATTCATAAAAAGAGCCCTTGGACTGAGTGTGGCTTTCCTGGGAAAATAAGTAATTATTATGTTACTTGACAAAAAGCCGTGCTCATTCCAGGTATGTTTGATCATAGCCTTGGGCCACGAATAGAAAATCCACATTCTCGTGAGAGAGTCGTGACTGTAAATACATATACCTCGGACAAACACGGTTGACTTCTTGAAAAAATAGTACCGGTTTTAGTGATCTCAGGGAGACAAAAGTCGAATTTTACTCCAGACTGGGATATCCCCCTCATCTCTATGCAGGTTTTTGCGGTTGTGCTGTGTATCTATCCAAAGCGTTTTGAGGTCGTGCCGCGTGTCGTTCGGCGCAATGTCGAATTTCAGCTCAACACGCTGGGAGATTCTTCTGAAAGCTGACATTCAGAAGGCTGACAATTTTTGAATTGAAACACTGAAATTCAGTTTCTTAAATAAGTCTGCAAAACGCGGAGAAAAACATCAGACATCCTGCCGAACGTCACACGGTCCAACCCTCAAACACACACAGGAGACTTAGATAGAAGGAAGCCATGCTGCAGAGTGCTGAATCACACAGGACATGTCCCACAGCAGATTTGAGGACCTAATTATTGAGGGAATGAGTCATTTTAAGACAATATTGGGAAGGGACCTGGCAGGCCCCTGAACGCATGTCCCCTCTCTCATCACCCCAATCCATACAACCAGCAGCCGTTGCCTCCCATGATACACGCCATGGTGTATTTTGCATTGAGGTGCATTTATCTGCTTCTATTGCACGCATCGTTCAATTCACAAGCACCTCAGGAGCTCCGCAGTGGCCAAGTATAAACATGCGCTGGTAAACAACTGCCTGAATGGCACCCGTTATTGCTGCATTTCTTCTCATTTTCCTCATGTGTTGTGAGAATGTGTGCACTGCAATGTGCTCGTGTTAGCAGGTTGTCATATCGCGATGGAAGGGCCGAACATTATTTTGCCACATTACTTTCTTTCCGATCGATTTACTTTATTTGGTGTCACATGCCTTCTCAGAAATGTTTAAATCTCGACTGGATCCGTGTTATTTGTTTTTTGATCACCTGTTGATGGATCAGGGACAAGTGCTGTGATGTTGAACCTACGTTGATTTGCCTGACCTCTGTGGCATTTCACAAAGGAACATGTTGGAAAAAACCGATTTCTTAAACTGCTTGCCAAAAAAGCCAACCGCTCTGTTCCACACAAATCTTTATTATATTATTTTTACCAACCCGTGACACATGAAACAAGCACCGTATTTACGAATCGATAGTAATTTGCACTTGTTCATTTAACTGCCTACCAAGTAATTGCAGATTTTGACAAAATACAGGTTTGAAGGTGTTTGTATAGCAACATGGGTTTTACAGCGCTGTATCAATCCACTGCTGGATTAAGGCTTCCAAACATTGCCTCAGTCATGGCATGTTTATTAACAAAAAATAGCAAATGCAATATAAAGTGTTGGTCTTGAATGTGTACTTTTTGGTATTATTAATATTAAAATGCTGTTGGTTACTCTCTTCAGCACACCGGTGGGCTAAAGAAGTGAATTATTTTGTCCTTTAAAAAACGTGACACATTTTTTACTATTTGGCCGTGTCGGGTGGTGGAGGGTTACAACACATTTATAAATAACGCGATCTGACCCAAAAACCTATATTATGATTATTATAATATACGACTTTTTTTCATTTACAACCCTTTCCTTTATCAATCCACTTTTGGATGAAGGCTTCTCCAATTTTATTGTTCATGAGGTATGTATGACCATACTTCACCAAGCTGGCCAATGCAGGTTGGTGAAATGGGGGGTAGGGCTGCCCAAGACCAGTACAAATATCACTCACTACTTGATGTTAGCTGTGGATCGGCATCAAGCGTCGGTTGCCGAGTTCTAAGTGCAGTGCGATCACCACTGCACCACCACTTCACCTCAAATGAGGCGATAACTAGAACTGGAAATGATGTAGGCACAAGCATAATGCAGCATTAATATTATTGTAAATCTACCAATCAGCTCTTATTATTCTATTCCAATACGTAATGAACCAATACATTCTATTTAATGCTACATTCATTGAAACTTCCGACACAACAATGTCTGAAATAACTCACAAGTTTAAAATGGATTGAACGCACACAGAGATACCACTGTTACATTTCAGCACGATCAATTCGGAAAAGCATATGATGCATTTCTCATTCTCATAATGATCTGCTTGGAAGTGTGCCTTTTTCTCTGTCTCCGTGCAGGCTTTTAATTCGGTCTCTATTCTCAGTTCATCACAAGAACCAACTGGAGATGGTGCATGTGGTGGTGGTGGCGGTATGTGATTTCTTTTCACCGGAGGGCACTCACGGTTTGAAAGTCCTCAATAATGATCTGCTGCAACATGTACCTCGCTCTCTCTGTCTCCATTTGTGCTTTGTAATAAGCAATTTTTTCTCCCAATTTATCATAAGAGTCTGGTATAACCAAGAGATGATGTTTGGTGGTATGGTTAGGTCCTCTCTTATTTTTGTATTGGGAAGGGCACTGACGGCCTGGAAGTCCTTGGTCGTCTACTGGGAAGCATTCCTCTCCCCCTTGTCTCCATTCAGGCTTCTTAATTAAGTTTCTTTTTGCGGTCTATTACAAGAGTTGGTGTAACCGGTAGGTGGTGTGCGATGGTGATGGTAGCCCGCTATTTTTCTTCGACTTTATTTGGGAACACAAAAAAACATGCCATCCTATAGCATTCCTCCCAGAGGCAAGAGCATATAAACATCACCAACAATAAAATTCATCAGTGGACCACCAAATGCTACCATTTCTTTCGTTACACGTGTGTTCACGTGTGTTCACGTGTGTTCATGTGTGTTCACGTGTTTTCTATGATGGAGGGGGGCGGGGAATGAAGTGGCAAACCACAGGGGAGGGTGGTGTGTGGCGGTGTCCGTAGTTGAATATGTAACAGGAAAACACACATGCTCTGAGAGTCCTGGTCTGCTCGAAAGCATGCCTCCTTTCCGTGGCTGCAGTGAGACTTCTTCATAAAAATTGTTTTAAGTTTATCATAAAAGTTGCGATAACCGGGAGGCGGTGGAGGTGGTGATGGTGGTATGTGGCGACGACGGCAGAGGCGGTGGTGGCAGTGGCGGAGTCGGTAGGTGATTCTGTTACGGGGTCGGGGGGGTGGTGGTGGTGGGGCAAGGAGGGCCGGTGGGCCACTCACGGTTTGGAAGTCCTCTTGAAAGCAGGACTCCCCACGGTACTTGCAGGAGAGCAGCATTTCCCGCAGCTCGTGGCCCGTGCGTTCGTGGAACTCCCGCATGCTGAACGGCCGGGGCTTGTACGTGCGGAAGTCGGTGCGCTCCTTGAGCTGCGCCAGGACGTGCGCCTCGGCCAGGTGCACGTTGGGGATCTCCATGCGCTCGTTCAGCAGGTGGAGCAGCTCGCCCACGTGGTACAGGTCGTTGCGCGTCACGCGCGTGAATCGGAACTCGTTGAGGTTGCAGAAGGTGACGGCCGGGAAGACGATGAGGTGAGCCGTCATCTCGTCCAGCTTGGTGACGTGCGGGTACTCTAGGAAGTACTGCACGCGCTCGGCGCACTCGAGCACGAAGAAGGCCAGCGAGCCCAGGAAAGCGAAGGCCCACAGGAGGCGACGCACCGACAGCCGGCCCGGTGAGAAGATGTGGCTGATGCCGTGCAGACTCGAGCTCCCGGCGAAGCTCTCCAGCGTGGAGTGCCCGAGCATCTCCACGTTCTCCTCAGAGCGAGCGCCCTTCAGGTCCATCTTCGCTGCGGTGGTGGCGGCGGTGTCCTGGACAACTCTGGAGTGGACAATTGAGCTCCCCTCGCAGGGATTTCCTGAGGCCACCACCCCAGGCTGGTCCCGCACTGGACCTCACCCCTAGAAATGCAAGGCGTGAACAGTTATTTGCACGTACACGCCCCTTAAACTCATTAAAATTGATCCATCTGGATGAAGTACATATGTACGCAATATGTAATTTAATCTCTCACTGCTGTTAACAACGAATAACTTTTAATAAACACATTTTGATGGTCCACGTATGGCATTCAGTGACATGTCGTTCATGCGTACTACTCACGTTAAGTATATTTTTTTAAATGATTTAGTATTGGAGTTTCATCGTTTGTATGATAGCAAATGTAAATGCAATATGCTCTTTGTCATATAGTGATGTATTATTCAAGATGTAAAATTAAACTAGGTGATATGAATAAACAATCTCTGTACATCGTGCCAAATGCACACACAATTTGCATTTAAAGTGCACGGTACAATTGTATGATACATTAATACAACCACAAATAATAAAAAATATCAGCTCTGTAGAGCTTAAACCACAAGATGTTGCTCCCCAAGATAGGCACACGCTTTATTATCCGAAGCCTCCAGACTGAATAGATATAAAGCATGCTGAACACAGTCTATCACTGGAATAAGGACCCTGCTTCCATTTCATTTTAGATCTTGCAGCAACACCTGAGAGCCATTCACCCTCAGCCACAGCTCTGCAAGTTCCCCCTTTGCAATATCATCGACAAACACACACACACACTTGCACGCAGGCAGTACTCACGCAGGGATAATCCGCCGGGTAGAAGATGAGAAAATTAGATTCTATGCCCACTGCTGCAGGAAGATCCACGCTTGTCATACGGACATTCCAAAATCTTTTTTTTTCAATCCGCCTACTTCTCCGAGCACAGCAACGTGATTGCGAGGGATCCCGCGAATGACGTCGAGCACCATGCATAGGATCACATCCCACTGTGACTCTGCTGCTGCAGCTGCTGCTGCTGCTTCTGCTGCTGGATACAACCCTCAAGACCTCTCCTCTGGGAATATCAGGATATTGGATTCCGTATGCACAGTATCCCCGAGGATGAGAGAGATGGAGCACTCCCATCCAAAGCAGCAGAGTCAACTGTCCTTTCTCTCTCTCTCTCAGAAGACTCTCAGATTTAAAAAAAAAAAACCTTCTGAAATCTTCCACCTCCTCTGCTGCGGCTGTCTTCGCCGACGGCGCGACTTCAGAGAAGAATTAAGCAACGAGCAATTATCGGCCAAGCGGTGGCACCGCTCCTGAGAAACAAAAATCCAGTTGTATATCACAAGGTCCGTTCTCCGAGGGAACGTTAAGAGCGAGATGGATTGTCAGTGTCATCGCGAGTGCGCGCGTAACGTACAGCAACGCAGAATGAGGCTGTAATTAAATATACAGGCCGTGGAACGGGCGCTGCAACAACCCCTCTTCGTTCCTGCCTGGCTCGAGCAGTGACCCGAGGAAGCTGAGAAGCGTCGCGGAGGGCCACGATGATCGTCCGCCGATACAGCTCGCCAACCGCGATCCCATCTGCGCCTTACCACGCAGCTTCGCCAGCACCACCACGCCACCACCCCTCCCCCCAACCTCCTCCACCAGACGCTCGGTGCACAAACGTGCGCGCACGTTGCTCACACGCGGGCGAGAGGTGGGAAGACGCCGGTCTCCCGCGGAACCGAGGGATGGAAATCTCAGGCAGAGAAGCGCACGGCACAGGAGGCGGGAGGAGGAGGAGGGGGGGGAGATGGGACGGCCTCCTTGTGAATTCCAGGCTGCGTGCGCGAGATAGCCCCACCAATAGCCAACCCTGCCGGCAGGCAGCCTGTCAGACGCTTGGATACAGAGGGTCGCGCACGCTGCTGCCACCGCCGCCGCGCACGCTGCTTTCATTCATTGCGAACCGTGGGACGACGGCATTTGTGGCGAGGGAGCGAGCACGGTGGGGTTGGGTTTGGGGTGAGAGTGAGCTAAGCCAGTGCGATCTACATGCTAATGTTATAAATCCATCCGGCGCTGCCTGCTTCTCCAAAAAAAGATCGCTAGCTCAGCCATGCAGCCCACGTGCACCCCCCACCCACCCCCCCCCCCCCCATTCATTCAATTATCTAGATTCCACAAGAGATGTCGAGATGGGTTTTTTTTATTTCGCCTGCGTGCGTAGAAAATAAACTTTAAATAGTCGTAAGAAATCACAGCTGTGGAGGAGGAGACGACGCGCAATGCAACTATATGTGCTAGTTTTATGTTCATAGAATACACAGCTAATTGCAGTGAGTAAATTAAAGAGAATGCTTAAATATAAAAACCCAAATTTAATTAAACGCCAGGAAGTACGGTAGTGGTAAAATTGTAACGGCTTTGTCTTAATTACAGGGACGGTAATGGAAGTTTTTAAATTGGGTCGGTGGGAAGTAACTGCGTGCGATTGGAAATACGGTAAAGGAAAATAATATCGCGTCTGGAAATACTGCGTGTGGGAATGTATGTTATACATAATTCACACACGTATTTACAGCTTGCTGCACATGTCAAGGCAAAGTCAGCATGTCCCCTTGATTTTTCAAGCAGTGACAAATGCACATCTACATTTACGATCCCAAGCCAGTGGTGGAAATTCCACTGCCCTCTGACAGGGCCCAATCTAGACCCACCATAACCATTGCTAATTTAGCATAGTGGAGGCGTGGATTGGCGGATTGCACAAATCACAAATGTTACAAAATTCCCTTCCCGTGGCTCTCGATGTCCTGGCTCGCAGATCAATGCAGCCTAGCAAAGTGAGGACGAATATCATCTGTCCCTTCTGTATGGGATTGAGCGTTGATTCCTCGCATGCGTGGGGTTCTCCAGGTGCTCCATTTTCCTCCCACATGTGTAAACACATTAATTGACTGACAACATCTTAATACATAGAGAACTGCAGAGCAATAGATGGCGCCAGCTCACTACCTGGCAGCCTGTGGTTCCAGTCTGTGGTTCTTCAGCAATTGTGAGATGGAATTTGCATGAACAACGCAATATAAATCTAATCAGGATCTTCGTATATATGCCCACCAATCGGTCCTTGGCTCGTGACATAGAATTGGTCACCAAGTAGCATAGCGATGGCTGCTGGCAGGGAAGGGAATCTGCAGCTTGTAGCAGCCCTGACTGACAGCAGGCCACGTGATAGACCCGAGAGGGATCTAGGGGAAAGGTTATGGAAAGGACACGTCGAGAGCCCGCTCGTAGGTTCCAGAAGGGGGGCGTGGCCGGGGCGGAGCGAGGCCACGCTAACAGGATATAAGTATAACCCGTAAAAACAAAGTTTTTCACTCTAAATCCTTTATATGCGTGGCGGCTAGAGTCATCTCGTCCTCTGGCTTGAGATGGCTGCCACCTATGGGTCAGATGATTGTGTGCCAGTATTAAGCAATTGGTAATTAAATATTTAATTAGTTTTCCCTAAACAGTGTCAAATTTTGGAAAAAAATGTTCACGAACTTTAATTGTCTCGCACAACGAGTCTGTGTGCAAAATGTCAGCTCGATTGGATCACGGGGAGTGTGTTAATAAACGACCGAAATATTTGCACGGTCGTAAGCAAGCAAGCAAGCACGCAAGCAAGCACGCAAGCAAGCAAGCAAGCGAACTTAATATAAAGGATTTAAAAAGGGGACCCCGAACGGGAGCTCGGGGCTGTCGTTTGGAGTGGGATCCCCGTCGACATCGTCATTGCTGCTGAAGATCGTCACCATCGCCGCTGTCGTCTCATCTGATATATTTTGCGCTGCTAGACGTAGTTGGCTGTCTCGGTTCAGCGCCGTCAGTGTCAGACAGCTAGCGTTGTGTTGTCGGCTAGCAACCAGTGTAGAGTTGCGTATAAGCGAGAGACAGAGAACGTGTAACAGTGTAGGGTGTGTATTGTATAACGTGTACAACGTGTGCTTGGTGTTTAATAAAATAATTGCCTCCAAGAAGTTACGTCTCCAAGTCAGTCACTACACTTGTATTATTGACCCACCAGATGGATGATAGACTGTGTTTCCAATGGATTGGGATTTCCAATTCATTGCTCAAATGAGCTATTGAGGCAGTATGCATCCAATGTATAGTTATAAAAACTTAACTGCAGGAGGTAAATGTATTATTAGATTGGGGATACACTGTGGTCAATAGGGCAGTGAAGTAAAATGTGTTGTACTACTGTAGTGTCAACGATTCAAAGCCAGAGTTTCTCGGAGGCACTTTATTTAACAACTTTCACGGTCTCGTCCGCACACTCTCCACAGTAGCTCAGCCTAGCCTGTACATTACACTAGCCATCTAACACTGACGGCGCTGACTGAGATAGCCAACTACTATCTTGTAGCGCAATATCTAGCGGAGACATTAGCGACGACGGCGATGAGACGACAGCGACGATGAGACGAGTCCACTCCTAGAACCGGCAGCCTCGAGCCCCCCGCTCTCAGCTCCTTTTATGCTACCAGCGCAGCCTGGCTCCGTCCTGACCGCGCCTCCCTTCTCGAACCCACTAGCAGGTTCCAGGGGTCTCCAGATGGGGTCCTCTGTGACCCTTATCCTAGTTCCTCTGCTCTGCCAACACACCCGTGCTCACGCTCACCGGCGTGTGTGCTGTCTGTCCCCCACAGTTGCCTCTGCTGTCCAAAGGCCGGCGCTATAACACTACACTACTATGCTCCCATGCCTATTCTCTCCAGCTTTACCAAACCTGCACTAACCAGTGTGGTGAAGTATGGTCAAATAGCCCCTTATACCCACATGTTGTGGGGAGGCCCTCATCCAGCAGCTGATTGACAAACAAGCGGTACATTAACACATTTGTAGTACTCAATCCAAAAGAGAGCACACAGACCATGAAAGTCCGTCACATACAAAACAAAATTGTTCCACTGTAGCAAATGCCTTTTTTTGTCCAGATTTTTTTCTGATCAAATATGTATACTGCAGCTGCTGACTCAATAGCAAGGTTGTTTTTTTCTATATATCGTGCTGCATATATGTGCAATACACGATTCTCTTGCTTAAGTTGTACACTGGGTATATGTTTATATATTTACAATCACTGCCCTTTGTCAATCGAATGCTGAATTAGAGCCTCCCAATGTTGTTGTTGGTCATGGGGTATGCTTGTCCATACTTCACCACGCTTGTCAGTGTGGGTTGTCAAATGTGCATATGTACACACACCGTAACATAAATGTTACAGATATCGTGTGTGTCAGATCGTGCGCAGGTGATAGGTGGATTATTACATCGCGGGATCGTAAGAGGTGGCCACGGCTTGGTGAAACATTCATCAGAAAGTGGATTGTCCACGGCTGATGATGATGATACCGTGTGCATACACAGCATGATGGCATGTGTAAGACACATTGTTGACGCCTCTGCAGGCACGCGCACCAAGAAGACACGCACCTTTGATGCACTACACCGGCGAGGCCACCAGCTTTGAGAGAGATTAATTGGTGCCTTCATTAGTCACCGATCGACCGCTTCTCCCATGAAAAGGATTTGAGGCTCAAGGAATGTGAAGAGCAGTATCCACTTTCTGGACTGCTCAGAAATTCCAATGAGCTGATTAAATCAGGTCACTCGTGGACTTATAGGCTCTGCAGTGAACCAAACGCTAATTGGATATCGTGCCCATCAACGTATTACATATGAAACGCACCCGGTAAATATAACGCGTGTATGGTATGTGCGACATCACGTGTCACTGTAACCACAAACTCAAACTTGAAATATGCCAAAAGGACAATAATTACTTATTGATGTTTTATAGACTCAACCTGACCTGCACACTCGCGGGATGGGTGATACGCGTGTGCTTGTCGTTAAATATGGCACGGTGTGTTGTATTCACAAATGGGGTCCGTGTCAATTTTAGAGGTTGTGTGATTTACTGGTAAGAGACAAAACAAAATCCCTTGCAAGGCAGAAAAAAATGGCATGAAGACAATCGCACGAAGGTGGATAAATTATTCCATCCTAAAGCCACACTCACAGCACTAGGCACATTCGCAAAATATAAACCTGTTTCATGTTTTTGTGTGTGAAATGATGATTCTAGAAATGAAGTCATTTTTTTCCTTGCCATTTTGACACATTCAGTTACATTTATATATTATCAAATTACTATCGGTTTTTTTTTTACAAATCATAGCTCGAGATTGCATTGCCTTGTCAAATAAATATACAGTTTCATAAAAATGCTATTCATACTAATGGTCTCACATTATTCATATACATAACTCCAGAAAAATGCATTTGAAATATTATATGAACGACCTTCAACCGAGTGAACACCCACTGTTAACGCCATAATAACATAGCGAGACTGCTGATATTATAGTAACTGTTAACAACGTGCTTTTTTACGCGCCAGTATATTCTGGCATTGATCATGCAGTAGCATGCGAATGCGTTTGAGAGTGAATGGCTGAGCTGCTACTGCACAATAGCTTTAATTTGTCCTATTAGTCGTAAGCAGCATGTTGAGGACATGCCGGAAGACTGATTGCTCCCCCAGGCTCCATGCTCTCGTATCGTTTGCCACAAGCCAATAGACAGTCACGAACTGTCTGCTTTGGGCTAACTGGGAACAACATAAAGGTCCCCAAAGAAATTAAGGATCTCAACATTTCACATGCACTTGTATTTTGCTCTTGGCGTGGAAAAGAGAGAGAGAGAGAGCTCGCAAAGCTTTGGACGCGACTTGAAAACACCCCCGGAGGGAAATGGGCACGCTCTACATATTAAAACGCTGCACCTGTGCTGCTCCGTGAAGATCTTTTGGGACGTGCACAGGTGCAAGTCATTAATTGTGGAGCACGCCGTATCTTTTATGCACACTTCTCTTCTCGAT